CGGCTCGACATTAATTGCAGCTGCTCCTGTATGTCTATTATCTTCTTTGCACTGCATGTTGCTGCCTTTTGCTTGCTTTGCTGCTGCTGCAGTTGTTGCTTTGGGTGTGCTGCTGCTCCTGCTGCTGCTGCGTCTGCTGATTCTGTTGCTGTCGTTGCTTCTCTTTATGCATGCCGCTGGCTGTTGGGGGGCTTGGTGCTGCTGCTTCTGTTTCGAGTTGCACGCGTTTGCTGCTGCTGCTGCTGCTTCTGGTTTGACTTGCATGCGCTTGCTGCTGCTGCTGCTGGTGCTTCTGTTTTGAGCTGCATGCGTTTGCTGCTGCTGCAGGTTCCTAGTGTGTTGCGGTTTAGCTGTGCTTTCTCTGGAATGAGTTTAAAGCTGTCTCAGCTGCTGTCTTGCAATTACCCTGTTGATGTATCTCCTTATTTATTATCTGTACAAGAAGAGAAGCAGCTGATGTCAGTGCTGCTGCCGCGTTTGCTGCTCGAAGATATCTTTGCTTCTCTACCTGCAGCAGAAGCAGAGCAAACGCGGCACCTCAATTGGCTGCTGGCTTCAACAGCTGCAAATGTAGATAAAGAAATGCAGAAAGAAGAGTATGTCTTCTCCTCAAGACAACACCATAGCCGCAGAGAAGCAAACACTGCTGCTGCTGCTGCTGATGCTGCTGCTGCAGCTGCAGCAGCACCTGTTGCTGCTGCAGAAGGCGTTAGCCTGCACAGCCGCAACCGTCGTGCTGCTGCTGGATCCGCAGCAGCAGCAGCAGGAATCGCTCGAGGAGCATCACCAGCAGCAACAGCAGTAGCAAAATCAGCAGCATCATCATCAGCAGCATCATCATCAGCAGCAGCAGCAGCGGGAGGTGAAGAGGCAGAGAAGGACGAGCTGCCAAGCTGTTTGTTGCGAGTTGTTAGCTACTCCCTGACTTCAGCAGAAACAAAAGAGTTTGATGTTTTTTGGTGTATTAACAGATTGAGGCTGCATAATAAAGATGCTTTTCTTTCGTTATCTTTTGCTGCTCTCTTCCCGCTGCACCCTTTTGCTGCACCTCTTTTATTTTCTTCAAAACGATGTGCATGCGGCAACTGCAAACTCTGGAGAGAATGGCGATGGCACTTCAAACAACACGTTCTCGATGTCTATGCAGTAAGCAGCAGCAGCAGCAGCAGCAGCAGCAGCAGCAGCCGGAGTAGCAGTAGCAGTAGCAGTAGCAGCGCCAAAGAGAGAGGGGGAGACAGCAGCAGGAATAGCTATTAGAGCAGCGGCAGTGAAAGCAGTAGCAGCAGAGGCAATACGTGCAGCAGCAACAACACGAGAAGGCAGGTGCCCATAGAAGCAGCAGCAACAGCAGCAGCAGCAGCAGCAGTTGTTGTTGCTGCTGCTGCTTCTGTTCGTTTTCTCTGCTTTTTGGTGGTTTGCTGGCTTTTTGGTGGTTTGCTGGTGGATAATGCAGAGTGTACGAAGTGCGTTAGGTGTATATATTAAATATATTTATATTTATTCGGCTTTCTTTATTTGTTTGTTTTTAATTTACCTGCTGATTGTCTTCTAAATTTGCTGCTTCTTTCTTTTGCTTTTCTTAACAGACGCTGCACGAGTCGATAGAGCGGCAGCAGCAGAGCGTGCAGAAGAAGCAGCAGCAGCAGCAAAACTTTATGCATGCAACGGTGCTGCTGTGTCTGTCTGTCCCTCCTGCACCTGCACCTGCTGCTGCTGCTGCTGCTGCTGATGCTGCTGATGCTGATGCTGCTGCTTCTGATGAGGAGACCCCACGCCCTTCGAGCTGCGGCTTCTGTATTGCAGATAAACTGGTGCTGGCTGCTGCTCTTTCAATAGACGCGTTGCTGCTGCAGCAGCAGCACGCACTGTCTCTTTTGCTGCAGATGCAGCTCTATCAATCAGCCTCTTGAAGAGATTGTTATTATATGGAGCCTCTTAGCTGTTGTTGTGTCGATAGAAGAAGTAAGAAAGGAGAAAGAGATAATTATCTACTACTTCTCGTCTTTATATAACACAATTGCTGCTGCAGCAAAGCATTAATCAAACAAAACTCTGTTTTTGTCTCCTCATTTAGCTGCCCATACACCTGAAATTGTTGTGTTGTTTTTTTATTATTAATATGTTTGTTTGTTTTTGTTTATTTGATGCATTTGTTTGTTTGTTTGCTGCTGCTTCTTAGAGTGTGTTGCTGCTGCTGCTGCTGTTGTTTGTTGTATAGGGAGTATACGTCTTTCTTTGTTCTTTACCCTAAGATGAGCAGCAAATGAATAAAAAGATATATTTTATTGTTTTGTTGCTGCAGATTAGACACTGGCATATTAAACAAGTGCTGCATTATGCAGAAGAACGAAGAAAAAGACAAACCCCAAGAAGAATAAATTTTATTATGTCTCTCTTTCTCGCCAGTCGTCTCATGTACAGCTGCATATACACCCTAAATGCTCTCTGTCTCTGTCTCTGTCTCTCTGTCTCTCTGTCTCTCTGTCTCTCTATGTATATGTGTATGTGCATATATATGTATGAATATACATATATATATGTATATATATATATATATATATATAATCGACCCAACTTAGCTGTATATACACCTCAGTGCTTCTTATAAGGCTAATTCTGCTGTATATGCACCTCATTGTCTCCTTTGTTGCTTCCCCAGCTGCGAATACACCCCGAGTATAATTTCCTTCTCTATATTTATCTGCCGCAGCTGTATGTACACTTCAGTATATTTTTTATACCTAATTGAGCTGCATATACACCGCAGTTTCTCCTCCTTTCTTGCTGATCAGTAGCTGCTTATACACACGGATTAGTATGTGCTTCTCTATAGCTGCTTAACATATATATATATATGTATATACGTCTATGTACATTGTTCTCCATCTAACTAAGCTGCATATACACCGCAGCTGAAGTGTGCATGCATACACTCAATTACATCATTTTGAAGCCTCTTATTAATTTTTTTCTTCTTTATTGCGGTGTACGTACACTTCAGATGTCTACTCCAAGAGGAGTAGCCAGTAAAGTTATTTTTTATGCAATATTTATTTTATTTATTATATTTTTAATGCTGCAGTTTGCTTGTCTCTCAACGCCTTCGACAACATCAGCTCTCGAACTGCTCCAAACTCTTCTTGACTTTCTACAGCGCTCGGTAATTCAAATATAAATAAATAAATATAAATAGTATTTATTTTTATGTCTATATTTAAATATATGTATGACTGTTGTATATATATGTAGATATATATATGAATATGTGTATCTATCTATCTGTATCTATACCTGTATGTCTCTATGTCTGTATGTCTATATCTATATCCCTATAAATATATATATATGTATATCTGTATATGTATATCTACATATGTATATATATATATATATATATCTGTATAAATATATATATGTATATCTATAT